CCACTTAATTATGTTAAAACCTACAAAGCCCTCTCCTGAACCTGTGGCTGCCAATTCAACTCACTACTTCACTCTCCATTTCCAGTCTTTCAAACAACAATTCAGCAGACAGAATCAACTCACTTTTTTCAACTGAATGTGCTCTAAGAGCTCCTTGTCTATGCTTGATTTAAAGTACGTGGCCTCAAGAAATACAGGCCACAGAAGACTTCCAGTTTCAGCCGCTTCCATGGCAGGCACGCTCCTTCGGTACTCCGAAAGGAGCAGCCCGTAACATGGCAGATGGGAGGGGGGGCGGTTGATCCAGACACCCCCTCGGAGTCCTTGGAGGGGACTCCCAGCCTGGGGCGCTGGAGGTCGCCTCTCCTGAGGCTGCGGCCAAGGAATTGAGGCACCTCCCAGCCCTGATAGGTCTCGTTACCACTGCGCCATTATGGCATTAAGAGGCATACACTGGGTGAGCGAACAAGTGATCCCACGAAAATAAAGCTCTCCATACCTCTGCACCAGACATGGAATGAAGCATGAGTGCAAATTTTTTGTTGGATGGCTATCCGGCAAAGCGCATATCCAAAGCCCCGCGGTATCGACTGAGGAGGGAGGGAGCTAGCTCATGTCTCCCCCCCATACAATTTTAAACGAATTTATCCAATGAGAGGGGCTAGAAGCAATGCTGATGGTTGACTGAACCAGGCAAAGTACAAACTTAATTACAGCGAACTCTTGAAGCAACTTTTGCTGACTTTTGAAAACTTTGAAAACTTTCCTTGAAATATAAACAATAGCTGGGCGGGCAGAAAAGATGGCGAAGAGACTGAGACACTCTCCTGGAACTACAAGATCAACACTTCCGGCTACTAAACTGGAAGTAAACATTGACTTTTCGAATATGTTGGCTACTGCATTGCACCCCCTGCTGGAGCAGATGATTAATACCAACAAGAAGTTGGATGAGATCCAAAAACAGCTTAAAGAGACGAGTTTAAAAACAGAGGAGACAGTAAAATCAGTGAAAAAGCAGGAACTCCTTTGCATATTAGATGACACACCCCTAATGTAGCCAATCCTCCAAGAGCTTACAGAGCTCTTCTTACAGGGCCTACTGTAAGCTCTTGGAGGATTGGCTACATTCAGGGTGTGTCGCCTAACATGCAAAGGAGTTCCTGCTGCAAAAAGAGCCCTGGTTGAAAGTAAAAGAGGCTGATCAAAGACTGGAGGTGATGGAAAAATAAAGATCCTCCGATAAAGACCAACTTTTAAGACTACAAATGGAAAAATCAGTGTATGTTCTGAGATTTCAAGGTGTTCCCGAACAGCAAGATGAGAACCTGAAAGAAATAATAAGTGAAGCATTGGCCCCAATGACAGGTTTAACGGCGGACACATTGCAAAGCAATCTGGACTTAGTCTATCGGACATATCCAGAATTTATTAAGAAAAAGAACCTGCCTGGGGAGATAGTGGCGAGATTCTCTAAAAGATCAACAAGAGACGTGGTGCTCAAGGCCACAAATGGGACTACCTTAAAAATCTAAGACGAAGAAATCAGAGTCTTAAAAGACATTCTATTTGAAATGAGGAAGAGGATACAATACAAAATTTTAACCAGCTTCTTGCAGAAAAACTCCACTCCCTAATATGGATAGTACCCGAAGGATTGGTCTTCAACTACAAAGAAAAAAAAGAAAAGATAGACTCTGTTTTTAAAGCTAAGCTGTTCTTGGAACAGCAACAAAGACCAGAGAATAAAAAAGATACAGCAGAGGAACAAAATATTGAAGAAAAAAGTAGCACACAGGGGACAGAAGAATCCGAATCAACAGCGAGTAGTAATCCAGAAGAACACTCCGAATCAGAATTAGGGGTGGCAGCCCCAAATGTCCTGAAAGTCAAATGGAAATATACCAAGAAGGAAGGAAAGAAACAGATTTAGTAGAACTGTAAAAGCCTAAAAGTCTTATTGTCTGTATTTACTTGATTCAATTTCATAATTACCAGTCTGAAATAGAAGCAGTAGAAATTAGCTATATTCCAAAAACTATTTTTTATAGAGAGAGCTTTACTAAATATGCATTTAATCATTAAATATGATCCTTGTATAGCTTATTTTAGGTATAGTGTTAGTGTTGTAGTGTTTGTAGGTTTGTAGTCAGAAAACAAACAAAAAAATACAGCCCACAAGAATAGGTTAGCAAATTCTTAGCACTTATGCAGCAAGATCCTATATGCAGTAACCTAAAAACAGTTACTTGCTGTTTATGACCCGGTTGCAAAAACAGTAAAGACAATAAATAAAAAAAACAGTTACTAACTAGTATCACCCAAAATATCCTGAGGTCTGGAGACAATGAAAAGGAAAAAGAAAAAGTGTCCCATCCCCCCTTCATCTCATGGGCTAATACAAGCTGGAAATCAAGAATAGAAGCTTAGCTTCTTTCCTTATCTAGGATAAACAAAGGTTTAATTATAAAATACTGTACTATTATTCTCTGTATTATTCTGTACTATTATTTCTTCCTTTGCTCAGTTGATGTAAACAAAAATTACTTTCTCGATATTTTTGGAGTCTTAAAAGACATGGATAGTGGCTAGGAGGATGACATCACTGAAAAGTTGTGTGTCACTTAACCATGAGTAGATAAATAAGCCTGTGATTGTACCTTAACTTTTAGTGGTCCTAGAGGAATTGAGGGGGGAGGGGGGCCTAGAAACAATTGTTCTGTTGCTCATTGGGGAATAGAAGGTGAGAGGGAAAATCTCCTTGAAAACTTAGGTCCTCGGCTAGTATGTCACTACACAGAATGGAAGGCCTGTAGATCTTCAAAACCATAACTATAAGCTAATCAATATACACCTTTAAGTGCAATAAAAGAAATAGTTCAAGAAGTCATTCGGTTATCTATATATCTAATAGCCAAGGTGCCCCCTCTGTGCAGATATCTAAATCCACATAGAGGGGGCACGGGGGGGAGATTTCCCTGCACACTTGGGGCACTCCCCAGGTGTACAGAAAAATCTGAAATGTTGAAAAAACTATACAGGGAATACTTAAATCCCCCCAAAAGTAAAAGAGCATTCCCTGTACATGCACGGACAACACACTTACCACTGGGAACTGTGGCAGAGCTGTGCAGGGCTTGCCACAGTTGCTGCTGTCGGTGGCAGGGGGGAAGCCTTGGCCGGCCTGTAAACCACCTACTGGGCTCACCTGTAGCCACCTCCTCCTCCTCCATGTATAGCTCCTGCTGCTTCAGCAGGCTGGCCACCCAGGAGCCATGGGGAATAGCCCCCCCCCCCCAACGAATATTGTGGGTCCCGCTTCTTGTCATTTTCACTTTCGCGTGATGGACTTTTTAAGAGGCTTAAAAGTGCTGTACATAAAACTACAGGACTGTGAATACTTCACAGAGAAGGAGAGCCTTGAATGACAGGCTGCTCCAGGCAATCTGATTGGTTGGCATCAGCTGAGCTAAAATTGTCTTGTGTGAGCTGGATGCTGAGGAGAGGAGATTCTGTGACAAGACATGTGTAGAGATAATCTTATACTAGCCCTAGTGCTGACAAAGTCAGAATTCACCGGCGACTTAATATAGTTTTAAATTCAGCGTTAGCTAAGGGCAGTTTTGAACACAGACAGTAACTGGGAAAAGTTTGGCAAGAATGTTTGGGCAGCATAAGAAGTCTCCCATTCAGGCTAAAGGAAAAGGGGATAAATCTTTTAGGGAGAGAAGAAGATTCCCTATCCAGTCCAACAGAGAACATCATCTCTGAGTACAGAGATCCCTGGTCTAGTGTGATTGGAAACTGCTTGGGGAGACACTGAAAGTCAGTTAACAACTCAAGAAGATTTTTGGTGTTCCAAGAGAATGGGTTTGGGTACTGGGAAGAGGGTACCAGCCTTCAGGGCACCAAAAGAGTCTGCTATTATATAAATAAAGGGAATTGGGGTGGTTTGGGAAAACCAGGAACCAAAGCCTCTCAAAATAAAGAACCATAGTAATTGTGAATAATTCAAGAAACTCTAAGCCTGATTTATAAGAATAAGAGTTTGTGCTTATACTATTTTACCTCAGTATTTTCAACCTCTGACTTCACCTAACCTTTCCCCTTGATGTTAAATAAACTCTTCGGTTATTTTTTAATTTTAAAAGCCTTTCAAGTGTCATTTTCTGTCGTTTAAATTTAAGGGAGACCGTAACCCTTCCCTCAGGTCCTGGGCTGAGAAAACAGCCATTACATATTACTGACACAGGGTGGGACTGCTAAAGCTACTTTTAAAAAAAGAATACACATTACCAGGGCTGCTCAGTCAGTGAAAGGACACAAAAGAAAAACAGGGAAAATCTTGCCTCAAAGTAGGGTTGCCAAGTCCATCTTCCACCCCCAGCGGGGGACTTTGGGGGCGTTCCTGGAGGGGGCAGGGCACCCCTGACGTGATGACATCACATTGGGGACGTCTGCCGCCGCCGCCCCCCCACCCGCGCGCCGGATCTCCAGAAACAGCAGTTCCCTGCACTTAGAGCCAGCGTTTAATGCAGGAGCCGGCATTTCCCATTTAAAAGCAGCCGTGTTTCCCTTTTAAGAGCTGGAAGCTGGCATTTCCCTGCAAGCTTGCGGCCATTGGGCTTGGGAGGAAACACGGGTTCCACACACTTAAAGGGAGAGAGATGGGTGGCTGTGGGTGTTGGGGGTGGGGCTTCCCCCGCCGGCCATCTGGCTGACAGCGGGTAGAACCCCCAAAAAAACGGGGGACCCCTGGCAAACCGGGGGGGTTGGCAACCCTACCTCAAAGGGAGGGAAGTGGATGGGGACAGTCTTAGCAAGTAACTGAAACTATAACAAACGGTTCCTAGTGACATTTCTGATATTACCAGGGCACTTAACCTTGAGTGACATAACAGCAAATTGACCTAAACTTCTCTTATCAGAGATTGCAATTTTGCAATCATTCAAAATCCTTGAACCACAAAACAACAATTAATTCACACAATTTCACCTACCTGCTGATGCCAAATGCCACAGCACCAAAGCAAATACAGGAATTATATCAGCCGAAGTCATTTTTGTGATGCTGGGTTTCTCAGATCAACTTCTTTCACTGTTCTTTATGCCAATGTATGTCCTTTGAAAAGGTGCTATTGTAGATCTTCAAAACAGCGTCTTCCACACTTGTCAGCGCCTGCACAGAGAAACAAATAATTCTTTGAAAAACCTGGTCCTAACAGATAAGTAACTTTAAAAAATGCTATCAAAAATAAAAAGATTTTTAAAATTAAACCTTATTGAGGAATGAAATAAAAAAGAAAAAGTGGTATTATGGTCACAAGTTTAGAACTCCTCTAGCTTGTCCTTCCAGCTCTAACTAGTTGCTATTCCTGTCTAAAATGTCGCCAGTATTTATCAGAGATAAGCACTGAAAGCCTGCTGAGGTCTGGAAGTTGCCTCTAAAAGCAGAATTGCCTTTGTCTCCCTCCATGTGTTTTGACAATGTCCTCCAAACACCTGCATCCTTATCAGCAACACTATCATTCTTGTAAAATGAATCTGGTAAAATGTTGAAAGGCTTTTCAGTAATTCCTAGAACAAAGTGGAAAACCTAGAAAAAGATATAAGGACAGATGTGGCTCATTAAAAATTATAATCTGTGCACAATGCTTTAAAAAAGAATTAAAAACAACAGTATGTATTCAACCATTTGTGGACTTTTTGGAGGGGGTCTTTTCCACTTCCTCCTGCTGCTGCTGCACACTCAGCCCACCCCATTGTTCTTGGGGGGGGGGGGTGTCAGTAAACCCTTAGTAACTACTACACAGGGAACCAAATGTGGGTTTGCAGCAGGAGGGGAGAATAGACAGAAACCACTGCCTCACTCTCATCTTCTGCAAACAGAAATGCCAATCCATAGAGGGAACTGCATGTTGGGTACATACCAACATTTTAGGCAGCAATGCTGCAGTGTACTATGTCTTGTGCAACATATACTACAATCCTAAACACTGCTGCATAGCTACTTTGCTGACAGCAGCCCAATTCAAACAAGATACTATTCAAGTATCTTCTTGGCATGGAGCACGGGTATGTATGTGGGGAGATATTTGTGAATTTCCTGCATTGTGCAGGGGACTGGACTAGATGACCCTGGAGGTCCCTTCCAACTCTATGATTCTAAGTGCAAAGTCCCCAGGTAAGACCTTTTGCCTCAGTCAGCATCACACGTCAATTAAACTTACTGAGCTCAATGGAAGTGGGACTTAAACACACATCCTAACATTGCAGCCCTCATCCCCAGTACAAAATTCTGATTCTTATGTTTTGAAAAGAATATGTTTTTAGAAGTTAAGACATAATCATCCGATTGGCACTCAATAGAAGAACCCAATCATTATTTCTCCAGGTCCAGTATAAATGTGCAGGTCCCATATAATTGTATAATCTCACACAAACACTCAGGATGCTATTTGACCTCTCAAATAACATTGTAGTGGGGTTTGCAGATGATATTGGGCCTTTGCTGGACTCTCAGGCCCCAAATGTAACTATTCTACTTCCACAACACTTAAAAAGGTAAAGGTAAAGGTTCCCTTGCTCGAAAGCCAGTCGAATCCAACTCTAGGGTTGCGGTGTTCATCTCCGTTTCAAAGCCGAAGAGCCAGCGCTGTCCAAAGATGTTTCCGTGGTCATGTGGCCAGCATGACTAAACACCAAGACGCACGGAACGCTGTTACCTTCCCACTGAAGTGGTACCTATTTATCTACTTGCAATTTCTCACTTTCAAACTTCTAGGTTGGCAGGAGCTGGAACTAGAGACAGGAGCTCACTCCGTCATGCGGCAGCTCGGTCTCGAACTGCTGAACTACCGACCTTCCACAGCCTGCAGTTCAGCGTCTTAACCACTTGAGCCACCGCAGTTAGCTCAGGGCTTTTTAGCCCTTTTGGAGTTAAAGAGCCACAATAACTTTTTGTGATATTCTATAGAATCCCAACCTCTTCTCCCTGCCTCACCTACATTACAAATAAACTAAAAAGCAGTTATTTAACAATTACAAAATTCAAAAGTGATGAGAAATGTTTGGGACGGAAAGTTGTAAAGTTACGTGGAACCCCATAAAACCAAGTTTGAAAAACCTGGCTTTAAGCCCTGGTAGGCAGTGGGGGGAACTTGTCAGTTACTAGAGACTTTCAAAATGACTTTTAAGACTTTTAAGCTTAGTTCCTTCTATGTGAACCAGACTTTGAGGAGACCTTACCTGTAGTCATTTTAAATAATTCTGCACCAAGAAACAACTGTCTAACATCGCTTGCCATCTCCTGAGATTCAGGGGCTGTATCAACTAAACGTTGCAGGGCAATTCTTATTTTTGAAATCATTCCTCCCTGCCACACACCCGCATCAAACACTCAAACACGTGGAAAGCTTTACAAGCCAGGGAGATCTGCTTTCAAGCAAGCCTTCCCCCTGACGTGTTAGTTGACTATTCCAAATTCTCTCTTTCCTACACACTCATATCCAAATTAGAACCATAGCTCTGCACGTATTCTGTAGCACAACGCTTTGCTATTGACTTTGGAACAAAATCATGTGTTCTTTACCATCCATTCCAATGCGTAACCGCAGATTTACTGGAAGTTCATCTATGGGTTTCCAAAAAGTAAAACATTTCAGCCGCATGTGGCCAGATATTTGCTTTGTAAAAATCAAATTCTCTTCCAAAATTGGAGAGTACAGTTATCCTGCTAATCAAACCTGTGACAATATTTAACAAACACGTGCACAAATGTTAATGTACCGTCATGAATTTATGGTGTGGGTTTTGAAATTAGTGTCCCATATGAATTGGAATCATGTAATATATTAAACAGGTGAAAACAGCATTTTAAAAGGAGGCATATTCCTTTCCTTCTTGAAACAGTCATCAGGTAGTTAGTTAAGAAAGAGATTTATGATAGGACTGTGTTGTTAAAGCTTTCCTCTTGTGCAAAACATGTACAGCATAAGAACATAAGAACATAAGAGACGCCAGTGTTGGATCAGGCCAAAGCCCCATCCAGTCCAACACTCTGTGTCACACAGTGGCCAGAAATACCAGGTGCAATCAGGAGGCCCACCAGTGGGGCCAGGACATTAGAAGCCCTCCCACTGTTGACCCCCCAAGCACCAAGCACCAAGCATGCACTGTAGCATTACACTGACACTACCCCATGTCTTTGAGCCCCACTGAACTGTGTCAAGCTTTAAGCACACCCATGTCCTGGGACAACATATGACCCAGAAGGATTACCAACCTCCAGGTCATGGCTGGAGATCTCTTGCTATTACAGTGGCTCTCCAGATGAAAGAAATCAGTTTACCTGGAGAAAATGGCCACTTTGGAAGGTGGGCTGTGTAGTATTATACCCCACTGAAGTCCCTCCCCTCTCCCAACCCCGCCCTCCTCAAGTTTCCCCCTCCAAAATCTCCTTGTATTTCCCAACCTGGAGCTGGCAACCCTACCCAGAAGTCACACATCTCCCACTGAGAGTGCTGCACCAGATCAGAGTTGCTGCACCAGATCAGAGAACTCTAATGGCCCGACCACATTATACATTTTTCCTGCGTATGACTCTGCACTGAATCTGCAGGTGTGTTTTTGGGAATCCATCCCTCCCAGGCACATAAGGATTTGCTTTGTATCAGAACGGCGGCACACAGGGAGATGGTGTTCATGGCATTTTCCCCAATCTGAGATAGCCTTGGAGCAGTGGACTATTTGCCTCATTAGGGGCTTCACCTGTACTGAGGGCCTATGTGTACGTTTCTCCTCAATTGATTACACAGCACCCCTGGGGCAGTTTCAGGTTGTCAAAATGGCACAGGGAGTAAGGATCAGTCTTCCAACGCTTGGTTGCTTTACATGAAGAGCAAAGCGATACGTCAGGGACTAGGGCTATTCAAACTAGACAAGGCAAGGGTGGACATGCAAAAGAGGATTTTTTGGCTACAGTGCCCAGGTTGTGGAACATCCTCCACGACACTCCCACCCTGCTATTTCTTCAGGTATTTTATACAGATATTTTTGTTCCAGAAGCCATTCAGAAAGGGGTTATTTTAAAAAAATCCAGTGCTATTGTTGAAAGGAGTAAAGAGCAACTGGTTTGGTCACACATGATAATACAATCATGGCACTGCTGAGGAAAAGGGTAGATTCCATCACCTTGTCCTGCCACATTCCTGCCCACCAGCCCACACGTCTGTTCCTCCGTATGGATCCTGCAACTGCAGGAATGATCTTTCTCGGTGTCAGAAGGGGCTGCAAGAATGGAGGGGGGAGGGGGGGGAGTCTATGGCGCCTTCAACACAGAGATAGTTAGATACAGACCAATATTATAAGTAAAGGGAATTCAGATTATGAGCCAGGGCCGGATTTAGACTTGCTGAGGACCTAAGCTATACAAAACCCAGAGGCCCCCTACTGTTTTAAATTACATCAGCTGGTCTCAGAAAAATTTAAAATATATACGCCTTTTTAATATTTGAAATCATTTTTTATATTGTGTTTTTATTTGAGGCCCTAAGCTGCAGCTTATTTAGCTTATGCGTAAATCCGGCACTGTTATGAGCCTGTTATTTTTCAAATTTTGCAACACTATTGTTTGGAAGAAAAGCTGCCACATTAACTCTTGTCCAACAGCATGGAAGGTGGACCTTGATTAGCAAGGCCATGCTGAGGTGCAGTGGCTAAACCTCCGCTTCTGTCCATCCCTGCGTGGCCATGATCCAAACTGGGGCCCCTTGTGGCTGTAACTGAGCTTTAAAACTGAGAATATCCAGTTATGGATTTCCAAGCATCCCATCAGTTTAAACTCTTACAAATCTATTGTGGCATCGCTTTCATGGATTGGGGCCCACTTCATCAGACGCACAAAGGCCTTCATGATGCAACATGGCAAAACAACAAGAGAAACACTGTACAAACCTCCAAGATGAATTACCAGAGCAACCAGCACAGTTCCTTCTACAATGCAGTTGCCAGATATCATACATACTATAGGGTATGAATAAGCATTCTAAAGCCCCTAAGCT